GCCCATGGCGGGTGGTGGGGAAGGCACTCACTTAACACCTCCATTTCATAGGGCCTCCCACCCAACCATTGACTTTAGCCATATTTATGAACAACTAGCATCTTTAAACAAGTGCAGAACGGAGGAGAAACTTTAATAGATGCACCGGGTCTGCGCAGGGACAGGATCTTGTTAGCCTGCATGAGCTGTGATTTTGGAGGGGCTGGTGGAGGAAGAGCTTCCTTTTATGACATCTTGTGACTGCCCCATTTGGGATCAAGTCAGCACTTTGTGGTCAATCCCTTTTGCCACGACTTTACAACTGGTCCTGAAAGTCTGCTGAGGATCTAGCATGGGGGTTGGGAGCTGAATGCTTCCCTGCCTGCCTGTCATCCCTGGAGGGGCCACACTGGCAGCTAACAAATGACATGCACCTCTGCTCCCTGGTCCTGGGCACATTTCTCACGTCACCGGCGCACATGGCGACCGCACCCCACCATGTGCTGGAAAACCCTGGCTCACCACAGAGCATGGAAACCACAACAACTCAGTGCCCTGAGTACGTCTCAACATGATGTCACTTGGCACTCTGAAGATTCGACACCAGCTGTTGAGAGAAAGAAACCGTGTCTGAAGTACTGTCCATGAATGCAGTTCCAGGGAATACAACAGTTCCTCCTGACGAGGAGGGTTAGGGTTTGCAAGAAAGCAAATGGAAAGAATTCAGATTCCACTGTGTGGAGTGGCTCATGTGATCTTGAGACATCGAGGTCTCAGCAGGTGCATCTTGCCAGCCTAAGCCCTCACCCCAGGCTTTGGCCATGCCTGGCCCAGGTGTCCCGGGGGCCCCATGATTGAGAGCGTCCAGGTTTAGTGGTGCAGGACCTTGAATGTGAACCTCCCAAAACCCCCGGAGGGCCCTGGCAGTGTCTCTGCTCTGGACTGGTGGCTGAGATGACCCTGACCTGGCTCAGTGGACATCTGAGGGCTGAGGGGGCAGGATGAGCAGGAAAGGGATGAGAGTCCAGAGAGGGGCCAGTGAGGGCGAGGGGCAGGCAGGCCCAGCTGAGGTGGCTGGGGAGGTGTTCGCAGTGGCTGCCTGTCAGAGGGGCCACAGGTGTGGGGACCACAAGCCTGGGGTCACTCATGGCCACAGCCATGCCGACCTCCCTCTGGGCAGTGAAGGCCTGTGCCCTCACTCCACCCCTACATCAGGAACCTCTGCCCTTCTGAGGGCTTCCTGCCCCTGACTTCTCTGTACCCCCAGGGACCTCTCTGTAGAATGGGCAGTGGTGCCCTCCTGGGGTCCTTTGTGTTTGCCAGGTATTCAGCACACAGAGAGTATGTGGCAAATTTGGATGAGTTTGGGCCGTCCCGGTGGCACACTGGAGAGTGCGCCGCTTGGGAGCGCGGCGGCGCTCCTGCCGAGGGTTCGGATCCCATGTGGAGACCGGTTCCCGCTCACTGGCTGAGCGCGGGGCGGGCGCCACACCGAGGGGTGCGATCCCACTGCCGGTCCCCGGTGCGGGCGTGACACTGAGGGTTGCGATCCCGTTACCGGTCAGTAAAAAAGACAAAAAGGAAAAAAAAATTTTTGGATGAGTTTCATTTGCTGGAGAGAGAAGACTGAAAATTTACAGACTGAGGATCTTGACCTGGGTCAGGTGGTGGTTCCTGGGTGACCTGGTCGCCTTGACCCCAGAATCCTGGTCCAGGCCTCTCCCTAAGGCCATGGGACAGACACCCAGAGAGGGAATGGCCTGGGCCTCTGAACCTCACCGTGTTAGGGTGGTTGCCGATCCACATTTATGTTATTTCCGTAAGGGCTTCTGTCCCTCTCCTTGAACACCAGGATCTTCCAGGCCAGCCTCAGGCAGAAGTGACTGTGGGATGTCCAAGACGAGCCTCCCCACCTGTGCTCTGAGGACTTATGCTCTTCCCTCCAAGCAGATTTTAGGCCACAGCATGACCGGCCTCTGTCCTGGTGGGCTGTGTGATGACAGGCTCTGCTGTCCCTGCACTGCCTGGCCCAGTGTATCCTTGTCACTCTCTGTGTGGTGCTGGGTTGTCTTTCGGGTCTGGTATGGGAGGGTCTCCAGGCTTCTCCACCTCTGCACCCCTGAACTCAGCTCTGGCCTTTCTGTGCCTAGGTGCCCGGTTCCAGGTTGTGTGGGTCTTGGTCACATCAGTGGCAAATACGCCTCTCACAGAAGCGCATCTGGCTGCCCACTGGCTGCCCGAAGGCAGAAAGAGGGCTCCCTTAATGGCTCGACCTTCTCCTGGAAGTCGCTGAAGAATGAGGGGCCAACCTGCCCCACGCCAGGCTGTGATGGCTCCGGCCACGCCAACGGGAGCTTCCTCACCCACCGGAGGTAACTGTCCCTGCACATCCTGCCTTCTCTATGCAGCAAGCAGGGACCAGGCCTTGGGGCCAGACAAGGGCTCTGTGACCAGAAGTTTCTAAAGAGAAAAGCAAGGCCAGATGGGTGGCCAGTTGGGGGAAGCACAGAAGCTCTGCTGATGTCAGATGATGGTGCTGGTGAAGTGTCACCTGTCTCCTCTCACAAGGCCTACCATGTCCTGGGGGAGTCCCTCCGGCTGGGTCTACACTGGAGGTCCCATATGAGCAGAGTTCTGTGTCTGACACCCACACTCTCCCAACAGGCTACCAGCTTCTTAGAAAAAGTTTGTCCCCCGTGCCCTGCCCTCCTGCTGGGGCCTTGTCTTTGACTTTTGGGCAGAGGTCTCTGAGGGCTTTGCAAGGCACCTGGTGGCTAGATCCCTCTCTGCCTGGACAGTGGCCCCAGCCATGCTCGACAGCTCTCACCTGCCCGACACCTGCCCCAGGGCTGACGGGGATCTTGCTTCATCAGGTCCCAAGGGTCATGGGGTCAGCACCTGGTGCCTTCAGAAACACTATGTCTGGGCTTAGGTCCGAGCCTAGTGGCCCTTCTTTTCCTGTCCTTTCTCTTCTCTTTTTTCTTTTCTTTCTTTCTCTCTCTTTCTTTCTCTCTCTCTCTCTCTCTCTCTCTCTCTCTCTCTCTCTCTCTCTCT